TGCATTTGTTGACTAGCCTCATTTTCAAGCTGTAGTTTCATATTTATTTTTTTACATGTTAAATATGCTCTGCTTCGCGATAGTCTTCTTTCATTTGTACTTACATTTAAAATGTTTTTAATCAACGTTGTAAATTCATCTGTCACGTAGGCGAATACACATGCTAACAAACTAGTGATCATATGGTATTTTTCGTACACGTTATCGGCAGTAACATAAGAGTTTCCAATATTTTTAGTGCTGGAGAACAATCCTCTGTTAATAAACAAATCTTTTCCAGAAAAGATTTGTTTATTTGTGAAATCTGGATATGTAGCTTTCACATCTGTTATTTGCGCCCATTGTGTATGGCTTAAAATTGCATTTAGTGTGATATTTTTTGTCGACGTCCGATGTCAATAAACATTCACTGTTAAAGTACATAACAAAAAAAAAAAGATACTTGAATAACATTTTGCCCGAAATTCTTCTAAAGCAAAAAACTGTAGTTGTACTGAATTTAAAAAATATTTTTTTGGGTAAAATTATATATGGTGATCGGCGATTTCTGTTTTGCAGTTGTTTGTAACATTGCTATTGTGTGTAAAATGAACATATCTATACCGGCTAATGTCTCGAGATATTTGTATTGGTCGACTACTATTTTCAAACGTGTAGTTACAAGATAACTGTTTATTAAAAAATAACAAAAATGTTACATAATGTTTTAACATAGTCCTGTTATGTTTAAATGAGTTTTTGCTTCGTTTTCGAAGTAGGGTATTATCCGAAAATTATTCTTATCGTATTAAAGTTTACGATGTTTGAATAACAAGCCATTTTTAAGATAGACGACCGATCAACTATAAAATTGTACCGTATTGTCTTTCCAACGCTATTGTTATTTAACACTTCTACTACTTTTGAATCCTCATATTTAAATGTGATTTATCACTTCATTTTTTTTTTTATTGATTATCTAGAAATGACTACTTAGTAATAAAATTGTATAAACAAAACGAATCAAGTTTGAGGACTACTGGCGTTAATTACTTTCGGAAGCCTTTTGGCGACATTAAAGTTTTTGGTTACCACGTTGACAGTTGAACAGTTCCAAAAATGTTTGATCATAATAATCGATTAATTCCCTTTTTGACTTCTGATCATAGAGTAGAGCCGAATTCTAATGATTGGTTGACGCCTCCCGAAGAAATCTTGAAATTTCAAAGTGACCGTGCGAATAGAGTGCCGAAAAACAAAGTTAGAGGGAAAAATTGTGGAAAAAAAATAATAAGTTTTTATAACATTACTGTCAGTACTAGGTCTTTTCTATGATGATAGTTTTCTGCATGCTCGTTCAATGAATATCCTACGCTATTAACAGAGGTATAATATATAAATAGCCGTGAGATATTAGCACCGGATGTGTTTGGCTGACTGTGCATTAAGAAGTAATCATGCTTAACATCGGTAAACGGTCAAGTTAAATGTTGGCTATAGGTTAGAGCAAGCCATTACAAATTGAGGTGCCCAATTCTGTAAATAATTTTAGTTACAGTAATAATCATTTTGTATTATACAATTTTGTGTTTACTTATTATGTTTGTTATCTATCATCTGTACTATTTGCCTCTTGGGCGTAATCATCTTGAATGAAGTAATAAAAAAAATTCATTATAATAAAATTTACAACATGTTTTTACTGAATTTTTATATAGTCTTTGTAAAGTTTTGCTTAATAAATTAACGTGTATATTTTTGATTATAAATTATAAAATAATTATTCATTCAGGTTATCAGAAAAACCAAGCACGAAACCTAAATCTAAATAATAATTTTCGATAACATTATTGATAAGTTCTTGAATACGATTTCCAAATTGATAGATGATATAGGTTTTTTCTAGACCAGGGAAATTACTGTGAAACTTCTTCAACATTTTTTTGATGGGCTGCCTGCCTTTCACTGGAAGTATGCAATATTTTCCTACAAACGGTTTCCACTTAAATTGATGCCTGCTGATAATGGACGCAAACAGTTTTCCGGAAAACTGACCAACTTTTGACTTGTAATCGTGTTCACCAATATAATTTGGAAGTAGAAGTTTTAAATTTATCGAAACATCTTTGTACCACTGCACCAACAGCAATATTTTTTGTTCATCATAATTTTTAAAAAATATAGAACATTTCTCTGGCGGAACCAAACCTAACAAATAAGTTAATGCATCATACATGTACTCAAACATTTTCTGTCCTTTTAATAATTGTTGGTACGCAAAATCAAAAATTGCCCATGAACTTTCGAGTTTAGTAAGTGCATCGTTGTTCAAACGTATATCATTAATATTACCATCAACTTTATCTTTGACATCAATTCTATTCTGTGAACTCACATTCTCAACAACCCGTGTATGTACACCGTATTCCGAATAATGAATATGTTGTACATATGATTGATCAGGTTGTTGTTTAACTTTAAAGCGCTTACTTTGCATTTGTTGATGAGCCCCATTTTCCATTTCTCTCTTTTTTGCCACATATGCTCTGCCTCGCGATAGTCTTCTTTCATTTTCACTTACACTTAAAATGTTTTTAATCAACGTTGTAAATTCATCTGTCACGTACGCGTACAAACAAGCTACCAAACTAGTGACCATGTAGTATTTTTTGTACACGTTTTCGACGCTAACATAAGAGTTTCCAATATTTTTAGTGCTGGAGAACAATCCTCTGTTAATAAATATATCTTTTCCAGAAAAGGGAAGTTGATTTGTGGAAACTGGATATTTGGCTTTTACATATGTGATGTTTTTCCATTGTTGATGGCCTAACAGAGCGTTTAGTACAACAGACAGATTTTTTTTGTCCAGGTAATATGCCAACGTATTTTCACTGTTGTAGTACATAACAAAAAAAACGAGATACTTGAATAACACTATAACCGACATTTTACTGAGGCAAAAACCTGTAGGTATACTGAATCTAAAAAATATTTTTTTTAATAACGTTTTTTACTGCTTTTGACAATTTTGCAGTTGTTTGTAACATTACTTTTGTGTGTAAAAAGAACTAATTATAGCGGCTAATGTCTCGAGATATTTGTATAAGTAGAAGACTGTTTGCAAATATACTGCTACAAAACAATTGTCTATAAAAAAAAAACAACAAAAATGTTACATAGTGTTTTAACATGGTATTGTTTTTTTAAAATAATTTTTGGCTTCGTTTCAGAATAGAGAAATATCCGAAAATTATTTTTGATTACGATATTTGAGTAACAAGGGCAAGCAATTATATAAAAATAATAATTCATAAAACAATAATTATTTATTTAGGATACCAATTACCAACAAAAGACATTAAATGCATATATTCGATATTCACGAAATCTAAATCTAAATAGTAATTATCGTTAATTTGTCTAAAAAAAAAAAAAAAATGTATCATAATGTTATAACATTAAAACAAAATTTCACACCTTCCTCCTTAAAATCGAGAAAAAACCCAACAGATTTTTATTTTTTCCGACTTAAATTTACAATGCTTTATAATAAACTTAAACTGTTTTTTAATTTAAAGAATTTAAAAAAAAATTTATTTATACTGGCTAATGTGTAGTGATATTTGTATTAGTAGACTATTAGTCCATATTTCTTTATTAGAAATTAAATAAAAAACTACAAAATTAAAATAAATACATATTAAATATAAATATGCTATATAAATAAATGTACCTATTTTAAAAAATTAAAAAGAATAATATTTGCTTTAAAACGGTTGTAAAAAGGCATTGACAGATAATATTGTGTCATCGTATACAGTTTTGTAATATTTCATATCGTTCATCTGAAGAATAAAAATATATACCCTTTACTATTTTAACTCTGTTTTCTGAAACAATTTCAGCTTAAAGAAATCAATCAATAAACAAATTAAAAGAGCTACTATTGTCTATTGGCACAGTGGTTAAAACTGGTACATCTACTGATCTACCCTATTCCATATTCTACATAATTGCTATATGGTATAACTTAAATTTATTACTAGTCGGCTGTCAACTAACTCTGATTGTACTCTATGAAAGTCGAAGCAAAAATGAAGGCGTATAAAAGAGCTGCGCTTCTATAACCAGTCAGTGGGGATTATAGTTAACGCGTTATGTATAGCATTTTTTTTTTCCGATATTAGGGTGTGCCTTGGCCTATGCTGTTATACAACATGTTAACTAATGTTTCTCGAAAAAGAAAAAATACAAAATTTTAATTATTTTGAAAGAAAGCGAGAGAGTCTCGTCCTTAATGACATTGCCCGTACTTTAGTTGAATAATGTAATAGGTTTTGTTTTAGAGTCACATAGGACATATCTTGTGTCTAATCTTTAGATTCAGAGTCAATAAAATACAAAATTTACACCTATATGACGGTATAAATGAAAAAGCTCCCATACCCTCTAGGAGAGGAGGTTTATGATAATATTTTTTGTCGTTTCTCACTGTATTTCGACAGAATTACTTCGACTTGATTGTGAAAGATTACAGCATGCCGTAGTTTCAAGTTGATAACCTAATCAATAATGTTAGTTTCATTAACCTAACACAATAGTGTTTGTCCGGTGCTCCTTAATTTAATTGATTTTCGCTTTTCGTCCACGTTATAGCTACTTTGAGCCCGGCAATTGGCACGCTTTCTTCTCATGAAAAGCTGTGACGGCGTTTCCATTTTTTTTTAATGACTAAATTATAACGCAATTCGTTCAATTATTGCGATGTATCCGCAACACTATAATACTAAAGTTTTGCGCTCAATCCTTTTAATTATTCCGTTTGTTTTGTGTTTTCTTAGCATTTAAATTATATTTATTTTTTCGATTTCGAATTAAAAATCTTGAACACACGCCTCGGCGGCCACGGCAGTGGGTGGCGGACGTCGCCTGCCGCTCGCGCATGTCCGCGGGTGGCCGCGGCGACGACGACGGCCGACGGCGGTACACGCGAGTCGGGACGGCGGCGTATATCGATCACGCGGGCGGCTCTGTGTAAGTGCGGCGGTGCTTTCCGGTCAGTCATCGCGCATTAACATCGGTCGGCCAGCGTGCGTTTGTCGTGGACGCGGTGTCGCACGTCGTCTCTAGTGTGTGGTGCGATCGGCGCAGCTTTCGCAGGTTGTCGAACGGGCGAGCGTGACGGTACGCGGCCGTGGTGTAAGCGAGTTGTAGGCGAGTTCCGCCCGGCCGGCAAATGACGACGGACGCGTCCGTGATCGACCTGAACGTCGGCGGCGTGTTCTACACGACGTCCGTGGCCACGCTGGTGCAGACGCAGCCGTCGATGCTGGCCGACCGGTTCAACGGTCGGCTGGACCCGTTGCCCAAGGACAGCAAGGGCCGGTACTTCATCGACCGCGACGGCGTGCTGTTCCGGTACGTGTTGGACTTCCTGCGCGACGGCAAGCTCACGTTGCCCGAGAGCTTCCGGGAGAAGGAACGGCTCCGGCTGGAGGCCGCTCACTTTGGGCTGGACGGACTGGCCGAGCGGCTCCGCGAACAGAAGCCCGGCTACATCACCGTCGGCTACCGCGGCACGTTCGCGTTCGGCCGGGACGGCCTGTCCGACGTCAACTTCCGCAAGATACCCAGGATACTCATATGCGGACGGGTGGCACTGTGCCGGGACGTGTTCGGCGACTCGCTCAACGAGAGTCGGGATCCGGATCACGGGGACACGGACCGTTACACGGCGAGGTGAGTGGCTGCCCTGCTGGGTAATAGATATTCTCCATCCCAAACCATTACCGGGTGACTGTCACAATTTTTATTGAAAATGACAATTTTCACCGTTTATGATTTAGTAATTTTATTTAAGAAAGGAGTTAAGTAATTCGTTTGTTTATGAAAAGGGTCAAATTCATTCGTTTAAAACCCTTGGTGTCGGTTAAAAAATACATTTAAACAATTGGCATTCGCTAATTTAAATAAGTATAGTGCATAAGGAGTAAAATTATTTTTTATAATTTATTTCAAGTAAAACTGTATGTGAAAAACAGTTATTTTTAATTTCTCTCTGAAATAGACATGTATCATAGTGGTTCGTTGAATTTATCAACTCTGTGCACACAAATTGCCATTTTTTCTAATTAAAAAAAAAAGTACATATTATTTGAAACGCTGTTTTTCTTATGAGTTTTTTATAAGCGTTTACCAAACCGTGCCATACAAATATTAGAACAGCGATTATTAGAAATATTGCGTTAATATTATTATCATATTTTTTTTGTTGGGCAAATTGTTTTCTTAGATTTTACTGCTACTACTACGGTAAAATATAAAGGTTTTGACTTATACCCAATGCCACAAACTATTGTCCCCCCCCCCCGTCTCAATAGCAATCCATAGGTCGGCGTATTAGCAACCGGCGGCGTGTCTTGTTTTGACGAGAAACGGCTAAGGCGCAGTAGGTTTAAGAAAGGCGGCTTGAATGAATATTTTAATAGACCATTTCGAGCAACACGTGTTTGAATAAACGAGCAAACAAACAGTAGCCGTTATACAATTTGGGTGAGGTTTGTCGAAAGAACCGTCATCAACCGTAATAAATTGTCTTATTTAAAAAAAAAAACATTTCTATAACAATTTCCGATCAATCGACGGCGATTTGGTAATTATAAAAATAACAATAAAAAAACCCGAAGTGATGACATCAACTTTTAACGTATAAAACTATAAACCGATTGTGGAAATTGGATTTTGTTTTAAGTCGCAACCCACGATATCTACTAAACCTGTAGTGCCGGCTGTTATAGTATTAAATATATAATTATTTATCATTTTGTTCCATACAATATATGTAAGTATAAAATATATATGCAACCACGGTATAGGTTTTAAATGCCAAAAACTCATATGAAAAAAACCAAGACTGTGGTATAACGTAACATAATATTGTTGTTGTATTTCAATAGACAAGTGTTCCGCAACAACGCCTAAGAAAATAGTAGTCAACTAATACAAATTACTTCAACCGTTAGCCGGTAACGATACGGGGGGCTTCTTGGCACACATAGCACTTTGAACAGCACGAACACCTAAACTCGCTTTCAATATCCGCATACATGTTTTTCGCTCAAACAACATGTCGGGCAAAGTGTTAATCGGGTTTCTGTTTTCTTTTTTAATAATCCATAAAAGTGAACAAAATATGTTTACCTCTAACGCGGTCAAAAAAAATCTATCCGACGTACTTACCGCACTTTTGGGACATCCGCAATGGGCACGGATGACGTTTGTGCAAGCCAGACAAAAACACTTCCCGAACGAATTGGTAGTGTTTTCAGGGAAAGATTTATCCATCGGCAGAGGATTGTTCACAAGCGCGAAAAAAATTGGTAATGCTTACGTTAATGTCGATAACGTTTACACAAAATACTACATGGTCACTAGTTTTTTAGGATGTGTATACGCTTACGCGACCGACACGCTTATATCGTTGGTTAAAAAACTTTTGTCTTTTAGTGAAAACGAAAGACTATTGTCGCAAAAGAATGCATATGGTAAATGTAGAAGACGAAGGAGAAAGGAAAACCATCTGGAAAGTACGGCTAGTGAAAAATTGCAAAGTAAGAAATCGAAAACTGAAAAACAACGTGATCTTGACAACGTTAAAGTAAATAATTATAGTGTACCGCCTGCGGACCACTTCACTGACTTTACAAGTTCTTGGAAAATTTTTAATTTTACATATCGAAAATTGTTGGAGAGTCAACCGATGTTTGAGTACATGCATGGCGCATTAGTTTATTTGCTCGGATTAATTCCGCCCAAAGAACTTGATTTATATCCTAATATAGCAGCCGTTCACGAATTCACAAAGTTTGTGGAATGGTACAAAGATATACCGATACATTTAAACCGCCTTCTTCCAACTTATATCGGCGCAAACGATGTACACTACAAGTCAAAGGTTGGTCAGTTTTCTTCAATATTGTTGAAGTCCATTAATCGCAGGCTCCAGTTTAAGTGGAAACCATTTGTTGACAAATATTGCATACTTCATGTGAAAGACAAACAATCCATCAAAAAAATATTGAAGAAACTTCAAAGTGATTTTCCAGGTCTAAGAAAATTGGAGATCATGTATCAATATGGAGTTCAAATTGAAAGGCTCGTTGAGGATGTAATCAAATATTGCTATTTAGATTTAGGTTTTATAAACATTGAACGATTGCATTTACATGACTTTTTCTAAACTAATAATTTATCTATGAATTATCATAGTATAAATACATCCATGTTTAATTATTATACCAATTACTACCATATTCAATACCCCGTTAATCACTCCATTAAGCATGACATTGTAGTATCTAATTCCAATAATAATTGTAATTATAAGCAGTATATAATTAGAAATGCAGTATAATAATTAGTCAGCAGTTGTTTGAGTACACGAATGAAGTATTAAGTCATTTATTCAGGTTGATACTATGAACCTTATACAATTGAATTAATCTATTGCTAAATTGATATAGTCGGAATCAATCTGAATAAATAACTTAATGCGTCAAACATGTACTCACAAATCTGCTGACTGTTCAATGCAAAACTACTAACAAACTTTATTTTACTTGTTTTTTTCCTCATAACACTTTTGGTGTAAAATTGTATACGTATAATACATTTGTATGATGTATTAACGAAGTATTATGTACAATAGTTTTTTTTCTTTATATTTTTATAGTAATTTGAATTGAATTTTTGTTAAGTCTATAATTGAATATAACCACTATGAAAAAAATTGTGACTAATAAACAATATTATATAATTATATTAAGTATAACAGTAAAATGTAAATAAACTAAATACACAAAAGTCAAAACAATCTAACATTATTTACCAGAAAAACTAAACATTTTTATATTAAAAACTATAGATGAAAATTTAATTTTTATGGTGCGCTTTGTTAGGCAAAATAATAAAAAAGTTCAGATATTCGCTTATATATTTATACGCATAGGATATTATAATATTTACTTGACTTTGAACACAAATCATTTGCTGAAAATAATGACTGGTCAAAGAGCAGTTTTGAATTATAACTTTAACTGACTATGTAAGTTCTCGGAATATTTCCAATTTACAAATCAAAAACTATTGGATAGCAGATGTTTGAGTATATTTATGAAACATTAAGTTGTTTATTCAAGTTGATTCTACCCGAGGAAAATAATATATATCCTACCATAACAGACAAACAAATAGTAATACGGTTAGCGAAGTGGTACAAAATGTTATAGAAAAATTGTAGTAGTGCTAATACAAAAAAATCTAGCTATTATTCAGTAGCAATGTCGGGCAAGGTGTTAATCGGTTTTCTGTTTTGTTTTGTAATAATTTACAACAGTAAGCAAACTTTTGCATCGTACAAGTTCAAAAAAAATCTTACTGACGTTCTTAAAGCACTTTTGGGCCATTCGAAATGGGCTCACATTACCGACGTGGAAGCTAAACTTCCAGTATACCCGAACAGGTTCGTTTCATATACAGGAAAGGATTTATTTATTTACAGAGGTTTGTTTTCTCATCCAAAAACGATAGGAAATTCGTATGTTAATGTCGATAACGTGTACGAAAAGTATTGCATGGTCATTAATTTGTTAGGATGTACATACGCGTACGTGGCCGACACATTTATAACGATAATAAAAAAAATTTTAACTGTAAGTAGTTATGACAGACTTCTGTCCAAAAATAGAGCATATGAAAAACGTAAAAGACTAAAGAGAAAACTGGCGAAGCTGCAAAATAAGAGATCGAAAACTGAAGTAAAACTTGATCAAGCACATGGCAACAATAATGACAAATCGGATGTTGAGAAAGAAAACGAACAGAACATTGGCAATGTCGATATAAATCATTTTGTACCACCTTTAGACGACTTAACGGACTTTGAAAGTTCTTGGAAAATTTTCAATTATGCGTATCAACAATTGTTGAACAGCCGGCAGATGTTTGAATACATGTCTGACGCATTCAATTATTTATTAAGATTGGTTCCGCCAGAGGAATACGATGGACATTCTAACAAAGGAAATGTAATAAATATATTAAAGTATTTGATGTGGTACAAAGATATATCGATACATTTAAATGCCCTCCTTCCAACTTATATCGGTGAATTTGATGTTGACTACAAGTCAAAGGTTGTTCCATTTTCCTTTAGATTATTTCAATCTATACATTCTAAGAATAGTAAATTGTTAATGCCAATCATAAAGAAATATTGCATACTTCCAGAGAAAGACAACGAGCCAATCTATAAAGCAATAAATCAATTTAAAACCGATTTTCCGGATAATGATAAAAATGATATCATTTATGAATTTGGGACTCAAATTCAAGAGCTCATAATTAATGTCATCAATAATTATTTTGTAGGTTTAGGTTTTGTGTACACTGAACATTTTTCGATTAACTGCTTTTCTGGTTTGTTCAAAAAACTCGATGGATTAGAAGCCGAAGTATACAATGAAATGTTCAAAGACATGTACAAATTATTATAAAAAGCTTATATTGTTAGTTCTTTGCATACACAGTTGATAGGCTTAAATTTTAGTTCGATAAAAAATTATCAATAGGTTGCTCCTCTTTCCTTTTGTACATTCAGATACAATAGTATTTATCGCATAGTCTATGTTTCGTGTCTGCACAATGTTGATTGAATAAAAGTATTATATTTATCATGAGCA